CTGCAGATTGTCGCGGGGAGCCGGTTTCATTTAGGGATGCACTGTGCGGAGTGAAGCTGGGTTTAGTCCCAGAGGACTATCCAACCACAGTGTGGTCAATGGATGAGCTCAAAGCTATCCAAAATGCCATCCTCAGGGCGGTCAGGAGCAACACAGTTAGCGCTGTAAAGCCTATCTTCAAGGGTGGCACCTTCCACTCGGGATGGCTATCCATCAGTTGCAGAGATGCTGCGACCGCGGGGTGGATACGGAACACTGTTCCAAAGCTGGCACCATGGAAGGGGGCGAAGATGAAAGTGGTCGAGGAGGCAGAAACACCTCGCCGCATCATTCTTGTGGGATTCTTCCCGGAGCTGGACAGCTCTGCCAGTGAGGATGCGCTCAGTCTGCTTCGGGCACAGAATGACGGCCTGAGAATTCCGGACTGGCGCATTCTGAATCGAGTACGCAGGTCAACAATGGCGGAAATCACCATTGCAGTTGACCCGCTATCAGCGGACACGCTAAAGCACCGCGGGAACGTGGTAAACTATGGCTTTGGCGTAGTAAAACTTAGGGAGAAAGCCAAACCGTCGATGCCCGTGGTAGACAAAGATGCCGCCGACACCGAATACCCTAACTCGGAGGAGCAACCTTGCTGCTCCAAAGACGTCATCGTAGCTCCCAGGCAGCTACTCAATGACACGCAAGTGCAGCAGAAGTCATCGGAGGGTGGCACAGAGCTACACGTAGCATACAAAGCTCCAACAACGCCTCCGAAAACAGCAACAACAACATGCCCGGCCCTACAACAGGTGCTGGAAGAAGCCCAAAAAAGCGTCGGACCCATCGCATCCCCAAAGCCTGCAAAACGGCCACCACTACATGGCAGCTCCAAAGCGGCTATGTCCAGCCGCAAAGGCAAGGGAGATGCAAGGACGGCCGAAGAAGCGGTCTTGCTGAAGGGCAACAGGGGGAAGAAGGTGGCTGCTCGCGGCCGAAAAGACCGCAAGTAATGGCACCTCACCCCAAAAACTCCACAAATCTGAGGCACATTAAATGCCTCCAAGTGAACCTTCACCACGCGAAAGCAGCATCAGATGTTTTACATAGGAGGTTCACAAACGAAGGCTTAGATGTAGCCTTCATCCAGGAACCCTGGATATTAAGAGGTGACGTCAAAGGCCTTAATATAAAGGACGGTAAGATAATCTATGCCGCCAGCTGTCGCCCAAGAGCGGCGATGCTATTATGCAACAAACTAACGTTTCTCCCTCTTTCACAGTTCATTACGGCAGATCTCGTTGCGATATGGGCCAAAATTCCTACTCCTAGGGGGGTGCAAGAGGCAGTACTTGCCTCCGCGTACTTCCCGGGTGAGGAGGAGATAGCCCCGACACCTGAGGTAAAGGCGCTTACGGATCACTGCCGGCAGAGTGGTATACCCTGGATCCTCTGCTTGATGCAAATGCCCATAGCACTGTCTGGGGGAGCACCGACACCAACAAAAGGGGTGAGTACCTCCTTGAGTTTATAAGTAGCTATAATATAAGTATTATAAACCATGGAAATGAACCAACGTTCAGGAACGCTATTAGAGGGGAAGTCTTAGATCTTACTCTAAGTAGTCAGAACATGGCAGCGTCTGTCACAAACTGGCGCGTCTCAGGGGAGGTATCAATGTCCGACCATATGCACATAGACATTGGCCACTTTCCTGAGCATGAACTAGTTTTTAGAAATCCCAGAAAAACGAACTGGGAATTCTTTCGCTTTATCATGGAAGAAGGTGGAAACAGCCATGGTGGTCAAATTACGCCTGCGCACGAGCTTGAAACTGAAGCTGAACAGCTTCATTCAGACATTGGAATAGCTTTCAATAGTAGCTGTCCCCAAGGAAAGGTAAAATCCAAACGTGATGTGCCCTGGTGGAGCAAGAAGCTTGAGCAAATGAGATGCCAAGCCAGAAAACTATTCAATAGAGCAAAGAATACGGGTGATTGGAATCCGTACAAACTTGCACTAACTTCTTACAACAAAGAATTGCGGAAATCCAAAAGAGCTAGCTGGCGAAACCACTGCGAGGAAATAAAGAGCCTCCCAGAGGCAGTACGACTCCAAAAAGCTCTAAATAGGGAACACAAAAATACGATCGGCACTCTAAAGAAACCAGATGGTAGTTAAACTCAGCATCCGGGAGAGACTTGCAGACTTCTGCTAGACACTCACTTCCCGGGCTGCAAAGCACTCTAAAGAAACCAGATGGTAGTTAAACTCAGCATCCGGGAGAGACTTGCAGACTTCTGCTAGACACTCACTTCCCGGGCTGCAAAGCGGGCTATTATCTACCGGAATTGGGTGTCCCAGCACGCACTTCTGGTAGAGAGCAAAGCCTTGCAACTAAACTTACCACGGTAGAAAGAGTGCAATGGGCGGTATCTACCTTCAGCCCATACAAATCACCAGGACCAGATGGGGTCTATCCTTGTCAACTCCAACAAGGTAGTAACTACATAGCCCCAGTCCTCTCCAGACTATACAGAGCTTGCTCCTACTGGGTCACATTCCCAGTAGATGGACTGAGGCTAAGGTGGTATTTTTACCGAAGGCAGGTAAACCGGAGCAAATGCCTTCATCCTACAGACCAATTAGCCTCAGCTCCTTTCTCCTAAAAGGCATGGAGAAAATCTTGGATCAACATATCAGAGAAGTCAACCTAGCGGAACGACCACTGAATAAGAACCAATTTGCCTATCAACCAGGCAAGTCCACTGAGACTGCCATTCACAGCCTTACATCGAAAATCGAAAAGGCTCTGGAGTCTAAGAACATAGCCCTTTGTGCCTTCATTGACATTTCAGGGGCTTTTGACAACACGTCATACAGGGCAATAAGAGATGCCCTGATATGCAAGGGAGTGAGCCCCATCATAATAAATTAGGTGCTTTCTATGCTAAAAACAAGGAAGATCAGGATGGAGCTGGGAGGCACGAAAGAATCGATTACAGCCACAAGAGGTTGCCCTCAAGGGGGTGTACTCTCTCCTCTTCTGTGGACTATGGTTATAGACGAACTCCTGTTCCTACTGAACGACCATGGCTTTGAAACACAAGGATATGCAGACGATCTGGTAATTTGTGTAACAGAGCTGCATGACGAAACGATCTCCAACCGCATGCAACAAGCCCTGCGCAACACGCAAAGATGGTGTGACACCAAAGGATTATCCATTAATCCTATTAAATCTATTCTGGTTCCGTTTACCCGGAGGAAAAAGATATCCATGACAGAATTGACTCTGGGCGGCACTAGAATAGGGCTCTCAAATGAAGCAAAATACCTGGGGGTGTGGCCTGGAATGTACATTTGGATGCAACCGTAAACAAGGCAATGAGAGCCTTCTTCGCATGCAAGCGACTTTACGGGAAGACATGGGGACTCTCCCCCAAAATGACTTACTGGTCATTCAACACAGTTGTGAAGCCGATAGTCACCTATGCATCCTTGGCATGGTGGACAAAAGCGATACAAAGAACTGCTGGCGCAAAACTAAGCAAACTACACCGAATGGTGTGCATTGGTATAACAGGGGCTATGCGGACCTGTCCTGCTGATGTACTTAGTGTTCTTGTAGGCATACCGCCCTTCCCAATTCTAATAGAGAGGGAGGCCAGTCTCTCGGCACTGAGAATCCTAAACACTTCCGAGTTAAAAACCGGAAACATGACAAGTCATATGAAGGTCCTTATGAAATTCACAAATGACCCCATTATGCATATGAGGGACTCAGTAGCTCCGATACTAGTAATTTCTAGGAATTTCAAGGTATCTATTGCGGACCGAGCATCCTGGAGCACAGGAAACCCCTACACCAAACCCGGAGCTGAAGTTTGGTACACTGACGGATCAAAACTTGAAGATGGGAAAACTGGAGCTGGTATATTTGGGCCGAATTTTAAAAGACCGATACCAATGGGCAGCTACCCCACCATTTTCCAAGCAGAGATTCATGCGATCGATATCTGTGGCAGAGAATGCCTCAGAAGAGGCACATCCTCTAAAAACATCTGCAATGTCGGACAGTCAGGCTGCCTTGCTAGCACTGAGGTCCCACATAATAACATCCAAACTAGTGTACGACTGCCTCAACACCCTAAACGGTCTTGGAAGCAAGAACACAGTATTACTGGGCTGGGTGCCGGGGCACGAGGGCCATGACGGCAATGAACAGGCGGACCGCCTAGCAAAACACGGAGCTACCACACTATTCCATGGCCCGGAACCCTTCTGCGGGCTCACCAAAGCCCACTTAAGGGAGGTCATAAAGAAGTGGGTCGACAAAAAATTCGAAAGGCACTGGAATGAATGTCCGGGGCAAAGACAAGCTAAGCGGTTCATCTGTCCATCACAAGAAGCTTCAAAAAAGCTCATAAATCTAGGCAGGGAGGACCTTCGAACTCTCACTGGGTACTACACGGGACATTTTTCCCTGCGTTATCACCTCAGTAAAATGAATCTTTCAGACACGAGCGTCTGTCGCTTCTGTGAGATGGACGAAGAAACGCCAGAACACATCCTTTGTGAATGTGTTGCTCTCGCTAGACACAGACTCGCTCACCTAGGTGGTACAACACTTGATCCATTCGAAATATGGAACAAAAAGCCCACCGAAGTGCTAGCTTATATTAAAAGCCTTCATATATAGGGTAAAGGGCCACGCACAATAGACCACCCTAGAGGTCGCAGTGCTCAAGGCTCATAATAATAATAATACCTAACAGCCTCCTACAGAATACGCTGAACATACTCACCAAATGGTGCAATGGGTTAAACATTTTCGCGAGGAAAAGGTACAAAATACTGGAACTATTCCTTCAAGGAGAAAAGATACACTTCTCTAAAGAGGTCAAATATCTCGGAATTATCACTGATGATAAGCTATCATGGAATCCGCACCTAAATAAAGCTACTCAGAAGGACAGGCCTTCTATCTAGGCCTGACGTGTTTTGCCAATGCTTACCTCTCAACGACCCATATCACGGCTGTGACCTCATGCTCTGGTTTTATGCTCATATTTCGCATACAAACCGCATTATTATAATTCCATATTTTCAAAGAACCATCTCGGGCACCCGTTAAAAGAAACTGCTCCAAGGGATCAAAGCATGCTGCCGTTATTTCTATATCGATTGCCTCGCCATAAACCATTTTCGTGTGACAACTTTTCATAATAATTTTACGACGTCCAGTCCATGGATCCCAAACTATGATATAGCTATCGAGGCCACATGTGACTATGTTGCGGAATAATCCATTGTAGAGTACTACAGAGACAGGTGCTGCATGCGTATTTCCATCGGTAAGATCAACACGAATGCGTGCGCAACATTTAATGCTAATCAGTTTCCGACCACCGACAAGCAAATCGCGTGACAAGGGATGATACATGTAACATAAATCGGTTTCCGCAGACAAAAGACGCACTAAATCGCCGAAGGTTTGCAATAAGCTGTACTCGGTCATATGCCACACTTTGATTATTTTATGATAATCCACACTATAGACTTTTTTCTCTTCGGATTGCACGAACAAATAGACAATACCACCATTATGACCGGTCAATATGCCTGAAGGTTTGCTAGAAATATACACATCCCAAATGCGCACAAAAGTGTCGGGTCCGCCAGTGACGACGATGTTATTCTTCTCAGCGACAAAGAAGCAGGTTATACCCTAAAGAAATGCATTTATTTTACGTAAAAAAACCGAAAAACTCAAAATGAAATGTCAACAGATAACTAACCATTGGTATGCGGAAATATGTCTTGTCTTCGCCGGATGCTATAATTAAACCTGGACAACGACCTCGATACTTTTTTGCATTGCGATATTCCGCGCCCACAAAAAGTGCATTCAACCGTATTGAAAAGTAGAGCTGTTGTATCAGTTCACTATGGATATTTGGGTACTCGCGCACAGTCATCAACGGCAGTTTACCCTAACGGGAGATTTAATGCAGCAAAGATTTAAATACCTAGCAATAAGGAATCTCAAAGAAAATTACTTTCAAAATTTCTGTCCAAAAGAGCTCCACCAGCGCTGCGCCTGGCTTACTTTGAAAAGGTCCCCGCAAAAATGGTGTGAATTCCAAAATTCGCACATTTCCACCAAAATCGCCGAGTACCAGTTTCGAATTGGTTTTCCCTTTCGGATGAAAGCTGTACGACATACAACAAACAGCATAAGGCAAACTACGAATCACAATGCGTAGTGTAAAGGTCGAGGCGACTGTCTCGTGGAAACGCAGTTCACGTTCCGTTGAAGAGGTGCAAACAATACTCACGTCGGAGAGTGCTTGCACTTGAAGTATCCATGTTGGCATTTTGAGATGAACTGCAGAAAATGGAAAAGTTAATTTTCGAAAGGATTATATAAATGAGATCAATTCAAAAAACTATACAAAAAAAATTATGGTCGAGGATGGAAATGCCTCCCAAATGTATGCTTAATTACACTGTAGGGAAAATCTCTGTCGTACAAGGCCGCACTTGTACATAGTTGTACATGACGTATGAGTAACATTTTCCATGTTGAAGTTTAATTTTTTTTATTCGCAATACAAACTTAAAATGAAAATACATACATACATACATATGTATATTGGGAAAATGACCTGACCTATGTAGAAAAACGGTATACAGATCTGTAATTCCACTGCAAAAATTTGAGGACTGGGACGCAGTTTTAAAGTATGTGCAAAAGAACCAGGTTGCATACTAGTAACTTTTTATGCTGACCTGGACCACTTCAAACGTAAAAAACTGATATATGTGTTGAGCACCACCTCTTCGTGGCCCATCGGCACGGCGAATTTTTTAAGAAAATTCATTTTAAATAATAGATTTTGCTATTTGAACTTCACCTTTAAATATTATCAAATATTCGGTTTATACAAAGTCTTATGAAATTCAATCCATGGTCCAAAAGAAGTAGTTGTCTAGGTGGTCCCATATTATGCAGCGTTAGATCAGAGGTGGTCAGCTCCAATGACATCGCAATGTTAATGTAGCCATATTTTCTCCATATGTTTGAACCATTTTGGTTACAAGTGTTGGTTACGATGTAGCGTGGTCCTGTACTAGGATTTAACCTAGTCCCACGTTTTGCAGGGTCACGACTCAAAATTAAGTTTACGTGTCTCGGCGTTTTTTATGTCATTTTAGCGTTGCTACAGTGTTATCGATACTGCATTTAAAAGACTTGTTAAGTAGGGGTTTAAGGATGATATTAAATTCCGAATAATGCAAGGGTGAAGCTAAGGATGAATATGTACACTAGGGTGGGTTAATTTGTATGAGAAAGTGTTTTTACTATGCGCGTATAGCACATAGCATGGGTCTAAAACCAATTTGGAGTTTGCCAAATTGCGAAAATAGGTTTCTTAGCATTTTGCTGTAGTGTTTTAAAGAAGTGCCTAAATTTTATATGTAAATTTTATATGTATGAGGAATCCATTTATGGACTTATCTTTTTCTTAACAATTCTACCAGAGGACGCAAAAGTGAAAATTTTCTGATTTTCTTCGAAACCTATTTTCGTAATTTGGCTAACTTCAAATTCATTTTAGACCCATAGTTTCTTCAGAAAATTTGCTTAGAATTACACGTAGAATCCTCCTATGCTATACGCGCATAGTCACCGCCCTAATGTATGTACATAGATAAAGTAAAGTACAAAGTAAACAGTAATAATTTAAATACTTTACATAAGGATGGTTGAGAATATGTAGATGAAAATAATAAATATAAATATAAATATAAATATAAATATAAATATAAATATAAATACAAATATAAATATAAATATAAATATAAATATAAATATAAATATAAATATAAATATAAATATAAATATAAATATAAATATAAATATAAATATAAATATAAATATAAATATAAATATAAATATAAATATAAATATAAATATAAATATAAATATAAATATAAATATAAATATAAATATAAATATAAATATAAATATAAATATAAATATAAATATAAATATAAATATAAAT